CCCTGTTCCACCATCAGTAGCATGTCGTAGTCGTTCAAGAGCTCCAGCTTCATCCTGGTGTATTTCAACATACAATCGAAGCTAAAACCAGGCGCGGTGTAATAGTGCGCCGGGTCCAAATTGTAGGTTGAAGTACAGATGTCGCGGAAGTTCTCAAACACATCAGCCAACAACAACACGTCGATCTTAAGATATAGGTCGCTGTACTCGCGGAGGGTTGAGCAACCGAAACGGTTCCACACCTCTGTGGCGTGTCTATAGTCGTCATTATCGATATTCAACTCAGTCAACTGACTATAGAAAGCGTCGCTGGGTGATGGTACCGTTTCGTCAAATTTAGCCCAACTATCAGTGTACTCGTAAGGGTATACGCCTTTACATGTCACCAACGGCATATCATCGGAGAGGAACACCTTGGCCGTCTCCCGGAATTTAAGGGAATCGGGTGTCATTAGGTTTCCGGCCAAGGTGTTCAGGGAGGAGGCCATGAACCGGAAGGTGTCGACAAACCGTATGGAGAAGTTATTGGTCACGTGTATCGTGACCGAAATATACTTCTTCTCGGAATTAGGTATGACCAAAATCCTTTGTTCGTCGTACCTCAATTCAGTGACGATGAAATGCGCGTCGTAACCCGAAAGATTGTGCAAGAAGAATAGCACAAAATTTACCGTCTTCACTTTCAGGTTACATGCATTGCACAACTTCTGTCTGAATCGGCCCGATAGATGGCAGTGGTCTGCAACTTTGGGGATGATATTCTTGAATGCCGTGCGGCACAAGTCGCATACCACTTTCTCCCCAAGCCTGCGCACATCATCGACAGACATTCGGATGGGGACATTAGTTTTACGCAACAATTTGGAAATGTTGCGTGTCACTTCCATTACAGCCATTACGAATGCCTTGTCAACCTCTTCGCGATCCTCAGACCCACGGTATATTACCGGTGATTGCGGTATACTGTAGCGTTCGAGGAGCTCGGAAGGCACATCGTTCGATGTTTTCACCAGGAACCCGTTGCTCATGGGATGGAGTGTGTGCACAGTCCTAGTATAGGTACCTATACGATCGTCTGTTTGCTCCAGCAAGGCCTCAAAATCGGCGTAGATGATAAACAGTAGCCGTTGCGTCTTTACCCATGCGTCAAAAGTGATCTTACTACCCTCTGCCGGCATAACGGGTAAAATTGGTTTATTCTTGCCGCATATAAACTTGTGTTGCTCCAACGCTTGTTGACCTCTAAGAATATGTTTTTTAGGCATATAATTGAAGCTGGTGAAGCAACATTTACAAGTGTATATGCGGCATTTGTGTTGATTTTTTTGGCTGCGCACGAGCCTCGAAAAATCTTAAATGTACGCGTAATGATACTCGTCAGAGTCATCGATGTACAACAGGTCAAAATGATTTTGTTGTTTTTGGTCGGCGACTCTTAGTGGATACACCGACCACTACATCTTAACGTTGTCCCATTCCAAGCCGTACACGTTGACGGACATGTTAGGATGGCGTCGTTCAAATATTTTAATTTGGGACACAGGTGTGGGGAACGTCAACCCCGTGAAATCATACCTGTGTTCCTCGTTAAAATAATGTTTACCAACGAAAGATTTATCATGAGTCTTAACATGTCTCGCCAAAATGGCCCACTTGAAACAGCACTCGTCTTTTTTATTCTGTGGGTTGATAATTGCCTTTCTATGGAAAGTTTCAGGTCGGACCGGAATATATGATGAGCCAGCGAGGGGCGTATACTTGTATACGCTGAGCATGAGTCTGTCGTTATACACTAGTGTGAATCCGCTACCTCTGCCCGAGTACACATCTTCCTCAGCGAGCATAATCTCAAAATCGTCATTGACCGCACCCACAATGTCCGTGTCGGACAACAACGCCCTAGCACGTGTCTTAAAGACACGGTCCTCGGGCGGTGCTTCCGATCGCGGTATATGGTAAGAGGCCTCCAATTCGAGATTATATTTAATAGGCCGAACAGCTGCGATTTCACCAAGTTTGGCAACCAGTTCAGATTTAACAGCACGCAGAAAATCTTGATAGCTCACGAAATTTCCCACGTTTTTTCCATAAAACCAAACGGCTCCTCCCTCCAATGCGGAATCAATGTCGATGAAATTTTTCGCGTCCGACAATTTTATACGCCACCTTTTCGATTTTATCCTACTGTTTTTAGCCCTACGTTTAACCGAATGGTGGTGTGAATCAGTCGCGGAAGAGATGGCTATGAAAAAATGTGTATAAAACAATTTGTGTTTCGAAAATATCGAAATATTCAATCAAAAAAACTTACCTTGTGCAGCATCAGTAAAATGTATATCAGCCATTGTTAATCAATTTTAATTTTAAATAAAAAATAAATACTAGTACTTGTATACGTTTAACAGAATATTTTTAAGCAATGTTTTAGTGACCCATTAATAAGGCTTAGTCAAAGAGTGAATAAAATCATTATTGACGTCTTTATAAATACGGTCAGCTTTGTTACTGTATTATCCGCTGCACCAGTGATGGTGGTGGCGGTCATTAAACGTACAAGTACATCATATATCATGAGCAAAATGACCAAAGTATATCAAGTGGTCTAAAAAAAAATATTCAGGTTTCTACATGTTATATAGCACATTACATTTTTATAAACGCCACCCAAGACAATTAGATGATAAATTGAATCGTTATTTATAATAGCGTGAAAACATTCAGTCTTAAAGTAAAATGTTTACACATATATGTCATTAGGATTTAAAACAGATGCCTTTGTAAAAATTATGACCGTCTGCCGTCTCTAATGCGTTGACGGATGAAGAATGCAATCCGTCCAGTTTAAACTATTATTTAATTAAAAATAATTAATTACAGTTGTTAAATACAGTAATATTTATAACGATTCCCATAACACTGAACTATACTCAAGGATAGGGCGAACCAGCGAACAAAAAAGATTTTTTAGTGGTCTTAAGAGGTGAAATTCATGTAAAATTCTCTGAATGAAAGCTAAAGTTTTTCGAGCCTTACAACATTCTTCTTCAATATGAAGTCAAAAATTTAAAGTAGGAGTGAGACGAGACCCAAGGTCAACTATAAAAGGATCAGAAGGAATGAGATGGTTATAAATATAGTAAGTTGAAGATATAGGATTAGAAATACGTGTAAAAGTCATTTTATAACATTTAGAGGTATTAAAAGTTAAGCCAATTGATTCAGACCAACTAACTAAGCGATCTAGATTAGTTTAAAGTAAAATAACATCGGAACTATTATGTTGCATAGTAGCATGTAATTTATAAAACAATAATAATTAAAACAGCAAATACTCAACTAGCAGTCAATTTATAGATCATTACATTGAAATACAGTAATACAATTCAAATTAAATATCTTAATTATAAAGTTAATTGTTTGACTTTAAAAAACAAAAAAAATTATATATATAACTTCTTATGTCTTATGAATTTTATTTTATGTCAATTTAATTATATAATATTCATGAAAGTAGTGTATTACCCTTGTAAGATATTTTAAAATAAAATAAAATACAAAATCCAGAATTTTAAAAAAAAAATAGCATATTTTAGCTTCGATGCGAAGCTGAGAAGGTATTGGTTTTACTATGATGTGTTTTTTTTTTTTTTTTTTTTTTTTTTTTTTNACCAATTTTTTTAAAATTAAACACTATCTAAAGATTTGCATCGAAGCGTTTATTTTTGATAGTGATTTTAATCACTGTCAGATATCATTATACTTGATCCAACTATACCACGTCACAACTGTGCCGCGACCCCCCTGTGCTGGGTTTTTTTAATACGATAGCCATTTTCACAAAAAAGAAAATCTATATTTCGAATTTTTTTTTCATAGTAAGAACTATACTATAATATAAGCTTTAATTTAAGATTAAATAAGTGTAAATATTTCCGGAATATTTTCAAAAATTAAAATGAAAAAGCTTAACTTATGTGTAAAAATTGTTTTTTTGAATACCCTCTGTGGGCAGGTTTATTGTCAAATTTGATTTTGATTTGATAATTTTTAAAAAAGTTATGATAGTTTTAAGAAAAAACAGCAAAAAAAAATGACAAAATTAACCGATTTAAAAAATTGTAATTTTTTTGGAGTTTTCCCTCATTTACGGAGAACGAGGGAAATGTTTTCAATTTTTAAGGGTAATTTCTTCAACTACAACTGTAGGTACGTTTTGTCATCTTTTGACGTATCGTTGAAAGAAGTCGGTCATGTGAGAGATGAGAAAAAGTTGCAACGGACACAAAAAAAAAATCACATCATGGTATAATTAATTTCTTCTTAGCATGGCATCGAAGGTTAAATAATTAACACAATAAATACTCAAATAGAAGTTTATTTATAGTTCTTTACATATAAATAATATAATAAATTTCATTTTAAGAGTTTTTTGATATCTGAAAAAAAATAATTTTTGTTAATTACTACCATAAATATTACTTTTAGCATTGTATAAAAACATTTAAGATACAAAACGTTTTTATAAAAGTGAATTAATGTTGATTTTCTACGCGATAATCAATAACTGGAACCATAATTTTTTTATAAATTTTAGTTCAGATTCTTCTTATATTTAAAATATAATTTATGAGAATTAATCTAAGTAGTAATATAAATATTTATGCTGATATTTGGGAGAACTGAACTCCCTAATTTGAGATTTATGATTGATAGAACCCCAATTACTAAAATAAAGTTATTTTCGTTATGTATTTATATATTTTCGTCTTATGTATGATATATATTAAGATTATTATATATTATTATTAAGAAAATTTTTTATATATATCCCACCCAAGAAAAAATTTTGAGAACGTGTCTACTATTTATTATGATTAAAAATATTCTTCAGGGAGAAATGAAAATGAAATATAGCCCTCATAAAAATACAATACCTACCCTATACTTTTGGAGAGTAGAAAAGTATAACGAAAATAATTAAAAAAGTAATTTTGTTTTTTTTGGAAAGGGATGGTTTTGAGGTATTAGAATTTCAAGATTTAGTATTTGTAAGGAGCGCGGTAATGTTTAGCGATGCTCTTTTTTTACCATTACGAACAAATAAGAATTTTTCTACGTTGCGCATTCTTTTTGACTATAAATAAAAGCTATAATAACTCAAAAAAATAATAATAAGAAATTGGTTATTGATTAGTCAAAATTTTATTCAGACTATTCTTCATTTAATAGTAAAAGAATATTAATAGGTTCCTGTTTAAATTTGAAAGTTACTCCTAAAACAACCCTTAGGAATAATTTTTTCTTAAAATAAACTTTACATTAACTATGGTTCATAAAATAAAAAATATTTTAATATATGCATTCTTATAAAAAAACATTATTTAATAAAAAATATGAGGGTACTATGATTAATAAATCACTCTTTTTTGAGGAACGAATATTTGCAAAACGATGAAATCAAAATAGTTGTGTAAATTCAATTTACTTAATATCGGTTCTCATTAATTAAAACGAAAGTTCATACTTTTACATAACTCTTCTAGAAGTAATGTATGAAATGTATATTGAAAATTCATTGATTTATATAATGATATATTTAAGTACTCTATATATTGTTTTTAGTAAATCAAATGTAAAATGAGATTTAGATATGTTTCTTGGAATATATATATTTAAATGTCTAACTTTAATTTAGTTGTAAAAATGTTAGTCGAAAACATTAATATTATTTACAATTAAAAAAATTACCTTCCACTTTAAGTAATTCATCGGGATTCTTACTCAATTTATGTAGAGTGTTGTTTAGTATTTTATCATCTAACTTATAGTTAGTAAATATTGATTGTGCCACCCACAGAAAAATATATCCATTATTCGCAGAATTTTGCAAAACATCAGCTAATTTTTCCATTTTATTATTTTGAATTTGATATACTAATGTCATTGCTTCATTTATTGTCATTTCAGTATCTTCTAATCGAATATAAATTAAAAATGTATTAGTAAAATTAAATGATTTTCTTAATTGTTCATTTTCTATAGTTGGTAAGATATTAATTTTAAAAATTGATATTATTTACACTTGCACTACATTCGGTCGTGTCAAAGAGAGTTCAGTTGTCAGCGTTATAAGCGCGACCTATCCTAACCAGTTTTACTGTTGGGGTAGTGTATGTGTGGGCTCTCCTACTTATGTTGTCGTATGTTCCGGATTACGGACTCTGTTGTGTTGTTTTGATGTCTAGTAAGTTGTGTTGCAGTTGATGTTGTATCACTGTTCAGCTTGCTTATTTTGGTGTTTTATGTGTTTAATTCACTTTATTTTCGTTGGTTTATACAAATTAATGCGCAAAATGGTGCCTATTAGTATTCCGTTCTTCAGCGATAGAAGTATATATTTTACAGTTGATTGCGTTAGGCACGACTGTAATAATTGACACATTGAAACACTTTTCAACTTGGTACGAAGAAGCGCAAGGTCAAATTATACATTTTATGTTTTTGTCTAAGTATTAATTGTTAAGAATATTTTATGTTGTTATATTTTATTATTTGATTAAGTGTTAATTACTAACCATAGATTTAAGGTATAAATTATTGTTGTTATTGTATTGGAAAATATTAACAGGGGAATATAAATTACAGTCCACAAAAACTTAATTTTTATTTTTATTTAATATAAAGGAAACCGAGAGAGACGCGATTTAACTCGGCGAGTGGTCGTCTGAGTATTTCACGTAGCACAACGTCATAATTATTATTTAGATAATGATTCAATAAAAAAATCAAATAATAGGTCAAAATTTAATTTTGTTGTGCTTTAAGAGATAAATTTGATCTTTTTTGATCACTATTTGTAGTTTATGAAGAAATCTGATGAAAATAAGTCTGTTTATTTAAGAATGCATAAAATAAATTTAAATTTTCGTAATGATAAATATTATTTGGTTTATATAAAATTGTAAGCAAAAATAGTCTGTTTCATTAGTACTCCATGAATTTTTAATAAAGGTAATTATTTAGACAAATTTTCATGCCAGGTGATCAAGAATTAATGAATTTTAGGATATTAAAAAGTTTAAAATATAATGTAAAAATATATTATAAATATATCAAAATATGTTCATAGTATACTATAAAAATTAAGTCGCGACATAGTGGGGATGTTGTATAATTAGTTCTAGTATAGATTTAATCTGACAGTGATTAAAATCACATTCATAAAAAACGCTTCGATGCAAATCTTTAGATAGTGTTTAATTCTAAAAAATTGATGGACAAAAACAACATCAACTTCTATTTCCTTAATTATACCCAGATTAGATTTTCTTTTAATTATATATTATATAATTTTTTAAATTAATTGTTTTCAAATTATTATTGATTTTGATTTTTAATATGTTAAAAGTAATCATTTTGAACGTACTTTTTTTTGTCCTTTAAAGTGAAAGTTTTAATAGAACAATATTCATGAAAGTCAGTGTATTCCCCTAATAAGATATTTTAAAATAAAATAAAATACAAAACTCAGAAATTTATTACAAAAATAGCATATTTTTGAATACGGTAGCCTTTTGTGCATAGAAGATAGGTCGACGGGACAAATTTTTTTTTTAATTTTATAGTACATGACATAAGCTTTAATTTTATATATATTTAAAGGACGCAGTATTTCCGGAACATTTTCAAAAGTTCAGTTGAAAAAGTTCTATTTTTTATACAATGTTTCAAGTTTTGAACGCCCCCTATATAAGGGGAAATTGTCTAATTTTAATAAAAAGTATGTCAAATGGAAGATGTACTTATAATGTATTTAGAAAAAAAAAANAAGTATGTCAAATGAAAGATGTACTTATAATATATTTAGAAAAAAAAATTTGTGCTGATACATACATTTTTCGAAAAGTTATAGCATTTTTAAGTTGAAAATTTAAAATCGAAAATTTTAACACAAAAAAAGCGGTTTTTTAACTACGGCACCCGTTTACATGCAGAAGATAAAGTGTCGGGACAAAATTTTTTTTTTCATTTTATAGCACATAAAATAAGCTTTAATTTGATATATGTTTAAGGGACGCAGTATTTCCGAAACATTTTCAAAAATTAAATTGAAAATGTTAGTTTTTGTAAAAAAGTTTCTATTTTAAATCCCCTCCTATGAGCAGGTTAACTGTTAGATTTTCAAAAAATTTATATAAAACGAAAGAAAAATATCTAAGGTTTTAGTATAAAAAAAAATTATGTTGATTTGTTTATTTTTCAAAAAGTTTTAAGAAAAAAAAGTGAAAAAAATGACAAAATTTACCGATTTTTAAATTTATAATATTTTTGGAGATTTCCCCCATTTGAGGGGAACGAGGGAAAATTTTTGAATTTTTAGGGGTAATGTCTTCAACTAGATACGATTTATGATCTTTTAACGTATTGTTGAAAGTAATTGGTCCAGTGAGAGCTGAGAAAAAGTGGCAACAGTCATAAAAAAAAACACAAAAAAACATCATGGTAAAATTAATACCTTCTCAGCTTCGCATCGAAGCTAAAAGACTATAAAATCTATGTATTATTCAATGGTCAGTAGGGAATAGTCAGCTTATTGTTGTTGTATATAACTTAATAAATTATTGAGTTAATATACAGGGTTGGGTTGTAACAATTTCGATTTTGTATTTTACATTTTTAACTTTATTATGCTATAACTTTTTGAAAAATGTATGGATCAGTACAATTTTTTCATGAGGAGTAATATGTATATACAACTTTCATTTGACATACTGTTTTTTTAAATCCGACCATTTCCCTATATACGAGGGGGGTTCAAATCTAAAAAATGCATGTAGAAAGTAGAACTTTTTCAACTTAAATTTTGAAAGTGTTCCGGAAAGTCTGACACTTTTATATATATCTTAAATTAAAGCTAATGTAATATACTTTATTATGCAAAAAAAAAATTTCGGACTTTATTTTATCTTCATGGTGAAAACAGACATAAAAGTTTATAAAAAAAATACGATTTTTGTAAAAAAATTCATTTTTATAATTTTAACTTTATAATGCTATAACTTTTTGAAAGATGTATGGATTAATATAATTTTTTTTTATAGATGCATGATGTCTTTACCTATCATTTGGTATATATTTTTTTTATATCTGACCCTTTACCTGCCCACAGGGGGGAATTTAAAATGACAACTTTTTCACAAAAAATTTACTTTTTCAACTTAANATGAGGAGTAGTATTTATATACATCTTTCATTTGACATACTGTTTTTTTAAATCCGACCATTTCCCTATATACGAGGGGGGTTCAAATCTAAAAAATGCATGTAGAAAGTAGAACTTTTTCAACTTAAATTTTGAAAGTGTTCCGGAAAGTCTGACACTTTTATATATATCTTAAATTAAAGTTAATGTAATTTACTTTATTATGCGAAAAAAAAATTTCGGAATTTATTTTATCTTCACGATAAAAATCGCTACCGAATGCTATTATTGTGTGAAAATTCTCGATTTTATTTTTTACATTTTAAACTTCATAATGCTATGACATATTGAAAAGTGTATGAATCAACATTATTTTTTTATGAGAAATAATATTTTTTAATAATCCTTTTTCATTCTACATACTTTATCTTAATTAGGATATTAATAATGAACTAGCAGATCATATAGCTTTTGGAATAGTCGACCAATTTTTTAAAAGAAAACAGTATCTAAAGATTTGCATCGAAGCGTTTTTTTTTGATAGTGATTTTAATCACTGTCAGATATCATTATACTTGATCCATCTATACCACGTCACCACTGTGCCGCGACCCCTCTGTGCTGGGTTTTTTTTTAATAATAATATTACTTTATTATCGCCCATAAGGATAAATAGAGTGTACAAAGTTATAATAATAATTAGTCATGAATAATTATTTTTTTTTTTTTTTACAACCGTAAGGATGGTTAATACCATTTAGATTGGTATGTCCAGGGGAAATGTAAGAGCAGTGGTTTCCCGTTGCCTTCTGCACTGGGAACATGGTGCTTTTTCGCTACCGTAGAAGCGCACGCATGGTCACCCATCCGTTCACCAACGGCGGTAGGCACGGCTTTACACTAGAGTTTTGTCAACAACTATTGTGACCACCGCACCACACCACGCCCATAATAATTAATTAATATTAATTATTAATACATAAACAAAAATAAAAATTTGTATAGAAAAAAAATATTTAAAAATGGTATAAAACTTTTCAATATTTATAAATTTATAAACATAGAAATTATTAAAATCCAAAACATATAGATAGAAGTTGAGATTCGCTATCATAATTAAAATCAAAATTAACCTACAAGCTAGTAGCATATATGAAATATAACTGGAGATTTAGAGAAAAATAAAGAAACATACAACTAATTTAAAAAGTTCTGGACAATCTACTTTATTAAATAAAAGTTTCTAAACAAAGAATAAATAATAAAATTCGCGTCTATTACATAGTGATTGAAGCTGTAAAACATATTGAAGATGTGGATGACGAATGAATTTTAAATTTTTGACATAGACCACTTAAAGTAATAGTTTAAATCGCGTTTAAACAATTAATGAGTCGAAACTCGTCGTAGGGTTCCACATTCCAAACTAGATCTCATAAAAGAGTAATGTACAACTTTTAAGCGATTGATATCTTTGAAATTCAAACATTGTCTTCTAATAAAGCCTAGCATACGCATACTTTTATTATGTATATAATTATTGTGATTGTTGAAAAATAGATTGTCTAATAGATAAAACCTAGATCTTTAATTGAAATATATAAATAATCTAATATTTGCTAACATAGATATATCCTCAAGCACTTCAAGCAACAAGACAATCCATGAAAGCTTTAACACATTCAAAACTAGTATTTGTTAAGAATTTTCGAGATATTCCTGTATTTTAGCTTCTATGCGAAGCTGAGAAGATGTTAATTTTACTATGATGTGTTTTTTTTTTTTTTTTNTTTTATATTGATTAGTGCTGATATTGAAGATACAAATAGTTTACATTCGTCAGAATCTCTTGTTCCAATAATTGATAATTATCATCCACCATTAGATTTTATAATACAATTTAATAATTCATTGGGTAATGAACATTTTGAATCTCCATTAGTTTATAACTTTAAAAACTGTAACTTTGATGATATTTCTCATTTTCTTCAGAGTATTGATTTTGATCTTAATCTGAATTATAATTTATCTTTTGAATTGCTTATTGAAAAATTTTATGAAATTATTTATCACTCTTTTGATTTATTTGTGCCAAAAACAAAAATATATAATAAATATACACTTATATGGGCAAATTCTGAACTCAGAGATTGTATAATTAAAAAAAAATGTGCCCATAAAAAATTTAAATTATTCCCTTCTGATATTAATTATTATGATTTCTCTATTTTAAGAAAAAAATGTAAACATCTTATTAATATATGCCATGCTCNATTTTCAATACAAACTGTTTGTTACTATAAATGAATGCACTGGACTACAAGGAACTTTCATCAGAAGCAAAAATATACTTTTCTAAATCAAATTTTCGCGTTGTTTTCAAATCTGCAAGTAGACTATTTCTATCACTTCTAATTTTTTATATTATTACTAATTATATATATAAAATAATAATTAAAAGAAAAAAAAATTTGTTTTCAAATTATTACTGATTTGATTTTTAATATGTTAAAAATAATCAGTCCAAATTTTCAATTTTAACCTATTTTTTTGGTTCTTTAATGTTGATGAAAAATTTTTGATAAAGATTTATGAAAGTTTATAGTAAAAAAAATTGAATATATTATCATATCTTTTAGCTCAATTACAAGTTTAAAATTGACATCTAGGCCAGTCAACAAAGGAAAAATTTTTTAAAAAATTCTCGACCAAATTTTGTTTTATTAATAGTTGAATTAAAATATGTATAATGACATACTAATAGTCCTCATTGATTGAAATTGAGCTTTTTTTTACAGCCTTACAAAATTTAAAAAATATGAGCTTTTTTAATTTTTACAAAAAAAACTTTCGTACAAAAGTTGTTTAAAAGACAATTATAAACAAAAAAATTATCTTATATTTTTTCATTTAAACAAATATTTTTCGAGTTACATTACATTTAATATGAGTACTAAAATTTATATTCCATTTTTTTCATTTTACGGTTACTTTTTATCATGTTATACTTACATTAGACACAATGTTATAAATGCATATGTGTGTATGTGTGAGTTTATTTATTTATTGTATCATTAAAGTGTAGTGTATATTAATATACAAGCGATAGAGTAGGTAATTGATTTGACGCTATATTATTTAAACCCAACTAAACGCTAAATTGTACATTCCGAAACAACAATCATATTATGTCAATTGCCACCGGAATTTTTGGTAATCTTTTTCTTTTTCTTTGTCTTAATCCCAACTACTTGGGGTCGGCCACCCTTATCCTAAGATTCCACTTGACACCATCTCCCACATCTTCTACGCTCACATCAGCTGTCCTCAAATCGAATTCAATAGCATCCCTCCATCTCTTTTTTGGTCTTCCTCTATCTCTTCTTCCTTCAACATTCATTTCTATAACTGTNTGCTTCAAAATTCATTTCTATAACTGTTCTTACAGCTTTCCATTCTTCTCTCCTCATAGCATGACTAAATAATCTAAGTCTATTTTCTGTCATCTTATCCACGATTGACGCAACACGTTTACTTCCTCTTATATGCTCGTTCCTTATCCTATCTTCTCTAGTCACTCCACTCATCCAACTNTACTATCTTCTCTAGTCACTCCATT